GGCCAGATGTAGCTTGTGGGGCTGAGGTTGAGCACCACTTGCAACTGGAGGGGGGCTGTCTTGGCCCGCAGTCTCTTTAGCAACCAGCAGTACAGCTTGGCAGGCAGTACTGCTCCCGGCCTGCAGAGGACAGTGTAAGAGCAACCAATCCCCAAGTCTATACCATGGCCGAGAGCATGGGGTGCTGCAGCCATGGGAATCTTTCCTAGTGCCTGCAGGCTGGGAAGCCTGTGTCTGTCCCATGCAGCTCACAGGTCTGAGGGGGACACAGGATGTGGACATGTAAGCCAGAGCAGTGCTTTTGACCACAAGGAGTGGTTCTCACCATCCAGTGTGCCATGTGCCCCGAGGGAAGCAGAACAGGTTCTCATCTATGCTGTCTCAGCTGGGAATGGTTTCCTATTCAAGGGCTCTTCCCATGAGTTTTACCCAAGTCCTGATGGCTTTATTTTCCCTGCTCGTTCGGGCCTTTCAGGGGCTCATGGTGAGGGTTGGCTCATGTAGTGTTGAGACTTCTACCTGCAAAGGATGTAGGAGGACAGGGACATCAGCCTAGTTGTGTGCTGCCACAGGAACCCTTGTAACATGCAGAGCCCCACCCTGTTGGAAGTGACTGCTGGCCACCTTGCCCCAGTGTGTTCCGGGGGGAAGGGTGGAGAATATTCGCTAGAGAGGATCCTTGATTTCTGGTTTCCCCTTGACAAAAGGAGGAAAGGCATGAAGAGCATGTCTCCCAGGACATGGCTTCTTGCACAGTACGGCCAATGTATGATGAGGATGGAGGGGTCAGAAGGGTTATTCAGGTTTTTTATATTCTGCTTCTGGGCTTGCTGCTCTAGAAAGGCTGTCAGCACTCTTCTTCTGCCCCTGGGAAGACAGCAGATAAGGCAGCCTCACAGTGTGGTCCCTCCCAGAACTTGCTCTGTGACTGTGCAGGAGGACCTGTGTTGTCTCATCCTTGTACTCTGCAAGATCCCAGCAGGAGGCAATAGAAAGCTCATTAAAATCTATATGTGACTGTGAAAAGTAAGAAAAAGCTGAAAATCTCAAAGTGTGGGACCACTGGCATATGTGCATCCAGCCAAGCAGGTACTGGGAGAAAGGGCAGCTGGGAAATTCCTTGTGACCGCTCATCTGGCATCTTCCATCAGTGGTCAGGTGTCTGTTTTCAAGAGCATGCTGATGGTTGGAAGTCAATAGCAATCCTGGTTATGCTCAGGAATGTTGTTCTGAGGTGTGCAGAGTGGTTTCTCCAATAGTATCTGGTTGCTGTTGCTTTTTGATATACAGACTGCTGAAGTCTGTATGGTCTGGAAGGCTGACACTAGCAAGCTGTCTTCCAGATCCCTAAGGTGACGCAGAAAACATAGCTTGGATATGTGTTTGATAATGAAAGCTCAAAAAGAAAGGTTTATTGTTGTCAGGCAGCACATCAGTTGATCTGATTAACAATCAGTCCAACTTAGCAAAGCTTGCCCTTAACAGGTAGAGGCACCATATGTTATTCACTCTCCCTTAGGTCTCTATGGCTAGGGACAGACATTAAAAAAGCTGGAGCCTGAACTGATTCAATCTTTGCAGATTAGTTCACCCTGCCTACATTGAATTAGTTTGCAACTGCACATACATTCCCTCTGGACTGAGGAAATGCAGGGACATGCCTGCACTCGCTCAGGCCAGGAGCTGGGGGAGGGGGTGCTAGAGCAGCCCTTGGCTGCAGGGAAGCTGTGCTGTGGGGGCATAGCCACCTCTGGCAGTAGCTCGAAGTGAGCTGGCCAGAGAGGGGTTTAATTCCCTCCTCCCTGTCCTACCTGCACAGACCCAGGCCAGGGTCTCCCTGGCACTCCCCACTTGCTGCTGCTGCAGCAGCAGCAGAGCCAAGGCACAGCTAAGCACCAGCCAGCATGGCCCCTGAGGCAAAGGGGGCAGGGAGGAGAGTTATTCCCCCCCTTTAGCGGGGGTATTTCCCCCACTGCCCCTGGAGGACCACAACAGGGTGTGCCCACCCTTACCGCCACCACCCCATTCACTTCCTGCATGGGGCAAACCTTCTTCTGCCCCCTCCACCAGATGCCAGAGGGAGGGGGGGATAACTCCCTTCCCCATGGCCCCTGAGGCAAAGGGGGCAGGGAGGAGAGTTATTCCCCCCCTTTAGCGGGGGTATTTCCCCCACTGCCCCTGGAGGACCACAACAGGGTGTGCCCACCCTTACCGCCACCACCCCATTCACTTCCTGCATGGGGCAAACCTTCTTCTGCCCCCTCCACCAGATGCCAGAGGGAGGGGGGGATAACTCCCTTCCCTGCTCCCTCGCCTAAGGGGCCCTGCTGGCCAGCCTCCGATCAGGCCCTGAGCCTGCCACTGTAGCAGCAAGGGGTCAGGGCCCGGATGGGGGCTGCAGCCCCTGTCCTGATGTCTAGGGAGCATGAGCCTCTTCCCAGCGGGGGGACCACAAGCAGGGGTCAGTGCTGCTGTGGACTGCATGGGGGCTCAGAGGGCCATTTTCCCCCCCACCAAGTACTGCCGCTCATGTGCGGCAACTTCCCTTGCCCACAGTGCGGACCCCTGCTGGGAAGAGGCTCACGCTCTGGGACACTGTGACAAGGGCTCCAGCCCCCATCACGGTCGCTTCCCCGTCACTGCTTTGGGAGTGGGGGCAGAGCCTAGCCGGCAGGGCCCCTTAAGCAGGGAGCAGGGAGGGTGGGGGTTATTTTCCCCTCTGCCTCCAAGGGATCACAGTAGGGTCTGCCTGCCCTGACCACCACCACTGCCGACCCTGCCACCACCAACCCTCGCAGGGACTGAGCGGCAGGATAAGCCCCCTCTACCAGTGGGAGGGGGGAAATAACGGCTAGGGAGCAGAGGGCTGGAGCAGATAGCCCAGTCCAGAGAGCATTGCTGGGGGACTCCGGTTTAACTTAAACCAGGAAGGGGCCTGGGACAGACCTTGCATAAACCGGTTTGAACTCAGTTAAGTCTGATACTACATTCAACCAAGTTTATCTCAAATCGGTTTTGGCTATTTTGAAACTGGTTTATATGCACTGAGCTTATATTCTGTTACAGGTTTAAACCAGATTGCTTAAACCAGTTTATGTGTAATGTCTGTCCCTAACCTGTGAGGGACAAGTACCTCCAAGTTTACACACCTGCACTCTCATTAGTAGCTGCTGTTTTCACACTCCCTTCAATGTCTTTTTGTTCATTAGTGCATGTTTATTTTCTTTATTTCTCTTTTCTTACTGGGTCATCCAGTGGTCAGGAGGCCCCTTTCTCCCCTACTGCTTTTTTGGCACTGTAGTTGACTATAGCTTAGCATACAGCCTAGCATAACTGGAATTCCTGGAAGGAGTTTGGATTTGTCCCCAGAACAGCATTTCCCAAACAGGTTCAGCCCCTGCTTCAGGAAAAACCCATATAATAATGCTACTGTGCCAAGGGATTTAATACCAGTGACCCACCCACAGCTGCAGTGTGGAGTGGAAATAATTCAGGGAAAAGACAGAGGGCAGGACTCTCTCAGTCTCCCTTGCTGTTGGTGTTTTTCTGGGAGTTTTCCAAAAAGCGAAGAAGTGGAGGAGAAAAAAAAATCAGCGCACAAGCAACTTCTAGATGCCAGGCATTGGGTCCAATACATGCATTATCAACACTTATGTGAGAACCATGCGGACATCCTGTGATTTGCGGAAGGGCAAGGTAGTGTCATTCATGGAGGATAAGTAGCGTTTCTTTGCTAACATATAATTAAGCAGCCCTATTTCAAGAGAGCTGGAAGGCAGATTAACCTTTTTTCTTGCTCAGACCTGTCAGAATTTCAATTAAATTATTTACAATGAGAAGTATGCATTAATACCCTCTTCCCTTCCCACACTCAAACATCAGAACAAAGTGCAACTCGGGTTGTGAACCAGAGGTGAATTAGGGAGAAATACAGTTTGGTGCTTTGATGCAACATGCATCCAGGTTTTGAGCAGCAAGGAAAGGAAGGGGTTCATGGGAGAGAGTCCCTGGACCCTTCCAAATCTGGTGAGCTGGGGAAGGATGAAACTGCAGTATGGCACCGACTTCCCCCCTAAGCCCAGCAGGCTTGGTTCCATCGCTGCGTCTTGCAGGCAGGCAAGCAGGCACCCCCTTGTAATTTACACAATTGTACTCATTTGTGCCACTGCTGCAAGTCTGTTCGACTGAACAAGCCAATTGGTGTGGTCAAGAAGCATTTTCTTTTTTTCCCGCTGTGGCTTCGGGGGGGGGGGGCTTGCCTTCCTCTGACTTGTCAGAGATCTGCCACAGCTGTGACACGTCACTAGGCACAGAGCTTCTTTTAGGGTGTCTTGCCTGCCGCATCCCATTCTCATGTGCAGAGTTCAGCTGACAGCTGATTTCCCCCTAGCCAAACTGGCTCGGGCCTGGTGGGTTTCCCCTTTCTGTGCAGCTTGGGGTATGGTTTGCCTTTTGGATCATCTGGGCACATCTCACCTCAGCGATTCCCTGACATTGCCAGGGCCTCGGGTATTAGTGGTACCTTGGTCTTTCCCATTCTCTTTCTTTCTACATGGCCCGCAGGTTTGGTTTTCTGAAGACTGAAATATTTGTCCTTTGGGCTTGAGATATGGCATTGGGATAAAACTTGCCAGTGATAAAAAATGGCTGTCGGATGAATCGTGATTTATGGCCTTGCTACGCAAATAACTGAGAAAGTGGTGAACGACTTCTCTGAAGTGTTAATATTGCATTGCTAATTGCATCCTCATCCACTGGCTGAGAGAGACAGAACAGGTTGGACTGGCTGAGAGAAAAAGATCTGTGATCTTTGATTCAATTCCAATTTTTGGTCTCTTTTTCTATCATATACGTTACGTTTACACCCAGACCGGCTATATTCCAAGTACCCTGGCAGGAGAGAAGCAGCAGGATATACAGGCTGCTTGCAGCTAGGAATTCCAGTCCAGAAGCCACTGAGAGGCATCAAGAATCAGACCTGCCTTAGCCACTTCAAGGATATGAATTTGAAAATTGCCTACATTTTCTTAGCCTTATCCGCAGCAATAAGTTTTATTCTAATTTGTTTGTTGCTGGGTAAAGAATGGAGACCAGCCACCTGTGGTACCAGGCCCCAGCATATCCAGGAGACAGGACACAGAGTCCACAATGACCACAACCTGGTGTTTGCTGATCTTACCCCAGGAGAAATGGTGCGAGTGGTGAAGTATCTGCGGGAAAACCTTGGAGTGCCACTGGTAGATGCCTCTCGTGCAAATCCCTCCGACAACTGCATTTACTACATCAGCATGCAGCTCCCCACCAAGGCAGAGGTACTGCGGTTCTTGGATCGAGGGGGAGTTCGCCCCCCACGGCAGGCACTAGCTGTTATTTTCTTTGGAAATCAGCCAATGCCAAATGTTACAGAATATCTGGTGGGCCCTCTGCCAAAGCCAACATATCACAGGGACATCACAGTGCTGAAGTATGGAAGGAAGCTACCATATTATGGCAGACTGATTCTACAAAATGAGTATGACCAGATCGATGCTTTTTTACGGAGCAGGGAATTCCCCAAAGCACCAAACTTCATGAGTCAGGTATTTGATTACAATGGGACTAACCTGGCATCTCTCAATGTGGCCCCTCGAGGATTTCAGTCTGGAGATCGCAAAACCTGGATTCTTCACTTTCAGGCTGTGACTGGCTTTTATGTGCATCCTATGGGGCTGGAGGTACTGGTTGATCACAGCAGCCTGAATATCTCCCAGTGGAAGGTATTGAAAGTATTCTATAATGGCCAATACTTCGAGGGGATGGTGCAGCTGGAGAGTGAGTTCAAGCAGGGCCATGTGAAGGTGGACAAAGTGAAAAAAACCCCCACCTGATGGGGGATACTCCTCCCTGAAGCCTAGAGTGCCCCACCAGAATCCGGGGCCCTTGCAGTATGAGCCTCGTGGGCCTCGCTATAGCATCAGAAGCAACCAAGTTGTCTTCCAGGCCTGGAGCTTTGCCTTTGGAATGGATGTGCATACAGGGCCACGACTCTTTGACATTAGGTTTAAGGGTGAGAGGATTGCCTATGAACTCGGCCTCCAGGAAGCCTCTGCAATTTACAGCTCCAATAGTCCAGGGGCGATGTCCGCCAGATACCTGGATGCAAGCTATGGCATTGGAAAATTTGCATTCTCGCTTGTCCCAGGGGTTGATTGCCCCTACTTAGCAACGTATTTGGATAGCTACTACTTAATTGATTCCTTCATGCCTGAGAAGCGTGAAAACTCCATCTGCATTTTTGAGGAGAATTCTGAAATCCCTGTTAGACGCCATTATAGCAAGATGAACTATGGGGGCCTGGCCAGCTCAGTTCTGGTGTTTAGGACAATTTCAACTCTTGAAAACTATGACTATATTTGGAACTTTATATTCCACCAGAGTGGAGCTGTTGAAGTCAAAGTCCAAGCCACTGGATACATAAGTTCCTCCTTTTTCTTTGGTGATGGTACTGAATTTGGAAGTAGGGTTCAGGAGCACACCCTCGGGACCATGCATAATCATGCCCTGCATTTTAAGGTGGACCTAGATATTGGCGGTAGGTCTCTCTTCCTATAAGATTTGATGTTGTTGGGCTCTTGTCATGAAGAGTGAAACGATTGAGTTTTGCAGATTTCGAGGCAGAAAGAAATGGCAATTCCTTTTTGTTAAAATTTGCAATCCAATATACATGGAAGAGCCTTGGAAAGATTTTTTTTACTTGGCTGTGTTGGCAGAACATGGGGATTCTAACAATGGCTCTAATCTCCAGTGTTTCTGTGCTTTCAGAAGGAACCACTTGGGAAATGTCATTCATTTATTAAACTTTCAGGCAAAAATTGTCCCACTTTGAAGTTTCCCAACTTATTCCTCGGTGAACTTTGTAGCCGTGTTGGTCTGAGACAAAAAGACATACAAAAAACTAGAACTCTTGATTCCAAAATCCTGGCATTTTCACCTTAACTCTTGGCTGTTTCCTTTCTAGTTTTGAACCAACAGTGATTGATCTAACTGGAAAGAGCTGGAAAATTACTGCCCATCCCTTACACTGGGTTTTTTCTATGGAGGCAGCTGCACATGCACAGACAGGGAGGTTCAGTGTTCTTTTACATATAATACACCTACACACTATGGGGTTTTGCCACTAAGCGGTCACTGTAGTGCCAAGAATGAGGGTTTGAAGGCATCTGCCCTGTCTGCTCCATGGGTAGCCAGTACCTCAGGATGTCTCACAGCCTCTTGGATATGATTATCATCATAGTTCCTTCATGCTATCTTGCTTCATTCCTTCATGGGGGATGCTGAGCCAAGCCTAGGGGTGTGAACTGGTGCTGGAGGCAAACCTCACAGATGGGTAAACTGTGATATTTGGTAGTGATTTAACACCATCATGTCTAACTGTCCTAGGACCAACCTTCTGGTGTCTCTGCCAAAAATCCTTTCTCACTGGTTTGTCTTTGTGTTTACCCAGTCTCTTGCACACCTTTTCTGCTGATTCATCTTCTCTTACTGGTTAAGACTTGCTTGCTGAAAGACCTTGAATTGATTGGAGTCTTGTGACATACTTCTGCTCTCAAATTCTTGGCTTTTCCTGACACTTTTCTGGTTCCCCTGCTCTGCTAGATAACTGCAGATTGAGCAGAACGACAGGTTTCCCTTGCCAACTGCTGGGCTTAGGTTCCTGAAAGTTCCTGTGGTTGGCAAAACCATGGTTGGTAAGACAAAAGGCTTATGGGAAAAATGCCAGGTGGTGGGCTGATGCGCAGCCACAGAAAACTACTTACTCAAAACTGTATACTGTGGTAGCTGAAATGGTATATAGAATATTAAGTGTGGATACTCAAAACCATGGTTGACGAGGAAAACTTGTATGTTTGACATGTGGTGGGTCATGTACATTAGCCAGAGTACAGTGTTCTCATCTGGGGATAACTCATTCTTTGGCTGGAGGCTAGTACCAAGGCTTCAGACCCACTTAACCATCTGCGTGGTTGTAGGTGACAAATTACAAGTTCACCCACAAATCACAGCGACACTGATTGCTGAGACAAAGAGCTAGGGAGGACTTAATAGGGCCCTGTGGCACTGGAGCACTGGGCCTGTAGCTACAGAAGTGTAAATGTTGTATTTGTCATGTGTGTTGCTCATCTCTGACTCCAGTGCACAAAGAGCACAGCCTGCACAAAAAAAGACTGCAGGCTTGGTGGTGGTGAGGCTCAGAAATGCTTATTGTCTTTAGGCATGGTATTCCCCCCCAGCTCTTGCTTGCCTGAAACAAGGCATCAGCATAAATCCATCCTCCATGCCAATTTAAAGTTCCAAGTTTCCCAGTTCCTCTTTCATATACACCATTCCACATTACTAGGCAAAGCATGTTGACTCAAGGAAGCTGTATACTGTATTCCCTTGTTATCTCAAGCTGTCCTGTGCCTGTTGTGCATCCTGATCTACATGCTCCTGTTCTTTCTTTATCATACAAGTACCATGCGGTCCTGCGCTCGATGCATCTGACTCCCCTTCCTGGCATCACTATACCTCCTGTATGGTTCTCTGTTATCTTGTACCAGCCTCTTACATGCATATTCCAGCTTGAGTTTGTTTAAGCAGTTCATATATCAGTCACTGGTGAGACCTATTCTGGCCAATCCCTTAGCAAAGCCTTTGTGTGAGGAGTATATGTGCTAATCAATGCTTGCACTAACCTGTGTTCCAGCAGGCCCTACAGTACCATGCAGACACCACGCTGTTCAGAGTCTGTAATGCAGAAATGATGATGAAAATAAGCTAAAACTTATTGAGCATATGCAGTCTAGAAGTGGGATATGAGGGCCCAGGAAGTGATTTATCAGTGGTTTTGCCTGTGTTTTGTAGGGACAAAAAATTCTCTGGTAACCCATGACATGGCATTTGAGACTGTGCAGGTTCCTTGGAGCCCAGAGCACCATATAGAGCGCCCACGGCTCATCAAGAAAGTCCTGGACAAGGAGGACAAGGCTGCATTCCGTCTGGACTCAAAGATGCCCAGATACATCTATTTTGCTGCCAACAGTGAAAATAAGTGGGGCCAGGAGCAAGGTTACAGGTTCCAGATTATTAGCTTTCCTGGGGACCATCTGCCAGAAACAAGCACAATGGAGAGAGCCATCAGCTGGGGGAGGTAGGTGTCTTTTTTTCTATATGTTAATATCTAGCTCATGTCCATGCCTAAGACTTCTGTGGGTGGCCTCCCTAGTGGCTACATGGCTCAGGTATACTAGAGTGGATATGAACAAGAGCTCTTGCATGATATAATAAAAGAGCATTACATTTCCTCTTCATGATCACTTGCTAACAGGCTCACTGCTGTATAGCTTGTCTCCCTACATGCTGTATCCTATAACCTGCCCCCGTAGCGCTGCACTTACTTCCAGTAAAAGGGGTTAGTGGCCCCCTGTTACAGGTATTTAGCTCAGCCTAATTATTAACACCATGGGTGATGCTGTTTCCATCCCTTCCCTTGAAGAACCTATTCCACATCGCCACAAGAGCCCAAGTCAGAGCATTTCATCTGAATTCTGAGCTGCTATAGTCCCACAAATACCATTGCCCTTAGTACTGGGGAGGGGATACAAATGGAAGAGCATCCCTTTTTGATCACCAGTGGAAAATCTTTTACAGGCTGTGTCCCAGATTCACATTTTGTTACTTATAGTGACTGCAACCTGATAGAATATCATGGGCATACTACAGTCCTCCACATCATGGAGCAGGTGGCAGCCTTGTGCCCTGTGCAGCTGCTGGATTTGGCAAATCATGAAAAGCGTGAGTGTTTCTGTCCTCCTCTTTGCCCTTTAGGTACAAACTGGCCGTCACTAAACGGAAAGAAGATGAACCAACCAGCAGTAGCATCTACAACCAGAATGACCCCTGGACACCCACTGTGGCCTTTGCTGACTTCATAAATAATGAAACCATCATAAATGAGGTAAACCAGCCTCTCTCTCTCTGTTCTGCAGCTATGTATTACAGTGGACTGAGTTTTATCATTGGCATGAACCAGCTGGGTCACAGGACGAATACCTGCAAAACCTGACTTACTGGCTCAGGGATCATTTCCTAATAGGGACATGGTTTTTTGCAACAGTAGTATAATCTCAGGGATCATTTCCTAATAGGGACATGGTTTTTTGCAACAGTAGTATAATCTCAGGGAATGAAACCTAATAGGGACATGGTTTTTTGCAATAGTATGATAATCTCAGGGATCATTTCCTAATAGGGACATGGTTTTTTGCAATAGTAGTATAATCTCGGAGAATGAAAAAGCAACTCTGTGCTTTCCCTCCTCCTGACCTGTGCCTCCTGCCTTTCACTGTGGTGGCTGTTGCTCATGACAGGTTGTGTATGGGGTGAGGCAGAACTCATTGAAGCAACCCAAAATTTCCTCCAAGGGAAAAGTTTAAGGAAAATCTTCAATAAATGTTTTCCACTGTCTGAGCCAGCCTTGTAGTGCAGGAACCCAGCACATGGCATTCACAAATTCAGGACTAGGCACAGGTTTTTTCACAGTAGCTTTACCTGGTCTTTCCTAGTGTGTGCTTCTAACTGGATGTTTTCCTGAGTTAATTAAATTGCTTGACTCTGTTTCCTTCCCCAGGACCTGGTTGCATGGATAACAATTGGTTTCCTTCACATCCCACATGCTGAGGATGTGCCCAACACTGTGACAGTGGGGAATACAGTTGGCTTTTTTCTGAGACCCTACAACTATTATGATGAAGATCCCTCCATATATTCACCTGACGGTGTCTTTTTTACGAGTGAGCAGGACTTCGGTTCATGCGAAGTCAATCCCATAGCATGCTTGTCCAAAACTGCCTCCTGTTTACCAAATTTTCCTCCGTTCACCTACAGCGGCTTCCAAAATATGACAAGACTCTAGAGCAGCAGTTCCCAATCTATAGTACGGGTACCTCCAGTGGTATGCAGACAACCTATCAGTGGTACGCGTTAACAGAACTATTATAATTACTTATATATGAAAAAAAATTGGTGGTGGTATTTAAGGTAGAACTGGAAAATTTTCTAGTGGTACTTAAAGTTGTATCGTTTTAAATTGGTGGTGTGCAATCTGCCAGAGTTTGGGAATTGCTGCCCTAGAGTTACGGGTTGTAGGGCATTGATGGAGTAAAGAAATGAATCGGAGGTACCAGAGTGGTGGCTTTGCTCAACAGCTTTTTTCATACTGCAGAACTGTCTTAGAATCCATGTAGTCAATAACTTTACGTAGCTTTTTATTGTAACTTTGCTGTTATCATTGCTTAAAAATATATCCTTAAAGGAAAACATAACTTCCTCAGTGTGCTGCCAGATAGGATTTTGTATTACTCTTCCATACATTTGCATGCTGAAATCTAGTATTGTATTTTCTTGCATAAAATATGCATCTTTTCCACCCCAAGATTTAGCTTTTGCAAATTGGGGAATTGAAGAAATGCAGTAATAGCAGTACTGTCAAAGTAAAAGTAATGCTGCAGCACTGCACATAGGGCTCCTTAGCTGCTGGCTGGGGACACTGCTGTAGAAACTGGTACTCAGTTACTTACCAGTATTTTCAAGGAAAGATCTTGTCTTCATTCTACCTTTCAAAAGCAAGATGCTTATCTTATCTGAGGTTGTGTTTTGTGTGTGTCCGATATGTTGAGGGGAGAGAGAAAGTGGGAGATGGAGGGAGAATTTCTTTTCTGTAGTGGTGTTACAAGCACAGTGTATAACTAGCTCAGGTTAAAATAATTAAATTTGATCTTGGTTCAAATTTTTCTGAAGTGCCTTATTCCTAAACCCTTGCACATGTGTTGTACTGTCTGCCACCACAAAGGTTGGTGGGCCACAGGGACTCAGCAGCATTTCCTACACTGACACCTGAATCTTAAAAACGTGCTCTAACTTGAAGCTTTGACCAAGTCCTAGCACAGAGAAGCACAACCTGTGCTGCTGTGGAGAATGCAAAGACATGTGGGGCTGTCAAGCAGACAGAGGCAGGAAAAACAAGTGCAAGTTAAGCACCAAAAATGGTCACTGTGGTGAGCAAGATGAAGAGTGACAGAAACTGGAGGAAGAAGGGGGAACGAGTTGGGCCAGAAGCTAATAATGAGGCCCTCTGGGCTCAGTGCTCATAGGATACTAGTGCAAAAAGGTGTGGGAATGCGTATGCTCCCTAACTTGTCACAGGAGAAAGGGATTCCTATCACAGATCCAAGAAGGTATGAATTTGAGCAGTTGGGGCTGACGGGCTGCAAAGGCCTACGATTCAAGGGAATTAAATGTTACAGAGGAAGCAGTGCCAGGCCCAGGGGCTGTCTGGGCTCAATATGACCTGGGACCCTGTAGGATTGACCGAAATCCAAGCTCCCTTGGTGGTCTTAGGTTTTGTGAACAGCCACATTGTCACCGTGACAGGGAAGAGCCCTACCACAGAGCAGCATCAGTCCCACAACTAAGGATGTCAGGGACTGACAGCAAGTTCTCTGCATCCATATCCAGGGACTAGGGTGGGATTGTTCCCTTGTTCCCACCCTTGAGGCTTTGTCCAGTCCTGTTTGTCCTGCCCAAGCCAACTGGAGCCCCTGCCTCTTCTCCAGAGATGGTATGTGCTGACACTCCCTCTGACATTCATTGCAGGAGCAAGATTTTAAGGGGCTTGGGATACCTCCCCAGAAAGAAAAGTGTGGTCCTGTTCCAGCTTCCTCTGCTTTTCCCCTCGACTCCCCTGCCTGCAGTGAAACTGTGGCCATGCCTCTCAGAAATTTTGAGGGAAAGGACAAGTTTTTAAGCCAGGCTTTTCTGCTTACCTGGTGCCCATCTAAAGGATTCCAGGTGTTTTTAATCATGCGTTTCTAGTTTAAGCAAGAGTAACATAGTCCTATCATGGTTTTAAAGAAAGAAGAAGAGTTTTGCTTTTCCAGGCACCAGAACACCTCTCAATCATTGCTAGTTTCTGTTCCCAAGGTGTAGCCACCCTCAAAGGTGAGGCTAGAGATGTGCATCAAGGCCAGCTCTGCTCACTAGGCAGAGACTGCAGGCAATGCTTTGTAAAGGACCAGTAGTTCTCAACATTTTTAGATTCAAGGTCCCCCTCAGAAAATACCAACTCTTAGCTTTCACCTATTTCTTGGAAAAATAGAAATGGGTGAAACTACAGAAAAATAACAGAGCAATTCTTCTGTTGCAAAGAACCTAGAAAGACTACAACAGCTCAGGATGTTTTTGAAACTATTTGAAATCTCTGGGGTTTTCTTGTGAATCACGAGTAGCTGTTTGCATATCTAACAGTGCTAATATTTAGTGGCACCCTATGGTACCTTTAAAATGATCTCACAGCACCCTAAGATGCTGCAGGACCCTGGTTGAAAACCACTGCCATTTGCAATACACAGGTTATAGAAACGACACCAAAGATGGGATATTGCCTTTCACCATAGAGCCATTGGCAGTACTGGAAATGAAGCATGGTCACTTGTTTCATTCAGTGAGCACTGAGGAGTTGCCCTGCTCCCAGGAGCCTGCTGAAAGCGGCTTGGATTTTCTGACCCAGAACCAGGAGAAAGGAAGGGTAATGGTAAATGGTGAAACACATTATGTCATCAAACGCACCTGGAGAGATGACAGTTGAGGAAGGCAGGAAATGGGCAGATAGAGGTGGGCAGAGGGAGAAGGTGCATTTGCTGAGCACAAAAGTCAAAGACAGAAAAGGGCAATTTACTCACCTGGGTGACAGCTGCACCTGGCTTTTTAACTGCCTCCATAGATCCAATTAGAGGGCTTTGGGGCTGCCTTGTAATGGGACAGCTCTGTCACAGCCAAGGCTGCTAAGGATGCAAGATGCATCACATCTGATCAGCATCAGTGACCTGCCATGGTTGGTGTATCCACCCCCGCAAACTGTGTGGGATAGGGGTGGGGTTGACTGAAATGGCTTTGCCCTGGGACCATTGCACAGAGCAGGTGGGTTCTTTATGCCCATTTTTTCATGTAGGATTGTGCAGAGGCCATCACACGGGGTTCTCAAGACACTACAATATTATAAATGTTCATGTGTCATCACCACTGTCATAACCCAATGATTTTAAGTGTCTTGGCACGATGAAATTTTCCCGCCACATGAGAGTCTCTGTGCACAGCAAAAGTTTTCTGTTGCAATAGAAAACTCCGGTGCAAGAGAGTTCCCACCATTTGTATGCAAATTTGTGTCCTATCATTGGCCGATTCTAAATTATTCCTACGTGGCGGCTAGCGACTGGCTTGTCAGCTGTATAAAATTCTGTGCGACTTCCGCCCAAGTCGGAGAACTTTGAGCACGCTGCAGAGTGACTTAAGAGAATTCCTGACTCGTGGCAGAGCGAATCGATAGCCCAATCAACTATCGATTTTTCTTCCCGTCGCCGAACGCTATCCCTCGACGTACCCCTTTTCCTGCATGCCTGGTTCGTTTACGGATTCGCTGGCCCGGGTTTTTGCCAGCTGGAGCAACTCGTGTAATTATTTAAGCGATCAGACCACCTGCGTCGCGGCTACTAGCGGCGTAAGTAAAGCCTTTTTTGCAAGCAATACGTTTTGTCTGCCTCTCCATTCACCAGCCCGCCCAACGGCCGAGCGATTTGTAGATCACCTCAAGTCGGCTCCGGCCGTCTGAGACATGGCGACGAGGATGGGATCTAAGGGCACGGTGATGAAGACGAACCTAATTGGGTGCTGCCCTTGGCGCACCGGGATCCGCCGCGTGGAAAATGTAAATGATATATGGGCGCATATCACCTACCACCAGGCGTTAGAAGGGGATGAACAAAATATTGACGGCTACTTCTCCATAAAAAAAGAAGCAGCGGTCATAAAAGAGTGGAGAACAAAGCTATCCCTTTGGGAGTTCAGGTGTATAATGGGGAGCAACCGGGTCTGCTATCGACCCCCGGAGGAAACATTTGACCCCCGCTCAGGAGTTTGCTCAATGCACCCGATACTTAAAGGAAGGGGGGGAACCCACCCCCACGGACTGGTTCAACTGTCTGGACTTGGTGCCTGAGTCACGGGGCCATGAGCTCCTCGTTCAGCTACGGGAGGATTTAGAAACTAAGGGCCGTCACAAGCTGAAGTGGGGTCTAACTAAATGGAAGAAGGGAAAGATGATAAATGTGCTGTTCCGTGCAGTAACGGGCCTACTAAGGGAGTACGCGAACTTGAAGGCTCAGATGCATATGGTGGGTAAGGAGTCGCTGGAGCGGACAGCAAAGGGCTCCGGAGCAGCGTTCATTAACAGTGCCAGCCGCATGATGCTGCTAGCAGAAAGTGGCACTGAAAGAAGCGTGAGCCATCCGGGGAACCCGCAAAAGAGGGGCAGAGTTTCAGAAGACCTGGCGGGGATCCGCCTAGCGACTCCACCCCCTGAGGTGACGTCATTCCCAACGACCCCCACTCCTTGCCACGGGGAGGGGGCAATGGGAGGAGGGATGTACCCAAGGCTCCCAGATGAAGAATTTAACCCTCTCTCTGCTGCAGCTCACCTGATAGCTGTGATGAAACATATTGCGGATGAAGAAGGTACTACGCGTACCACGGTTATCTCGCGCACACGCACCCAACCAGAGATACAAGAGCTTTGCAAAGAATCCAAAATAAAACCGGAAGAAACCTTGGCCATGTGGTTAGGAAGATTAATAGTGGAATCTGACATTCTGGATAGGGAAGAAGCGAGTGCCCTGACCTGACAAGCAGCATGGAGCGGAGGGCGTGCTACCGATTTGAACATGGTCACGGACAGTGCCCACTGGCCCATCCCGCTCCCGGCGCTTGTAGTGGGACAGGTAACCCACAAATTTCATACCTGGCATGAGGGTCGCCCACAGAAGGCCACTGCGGAACAACTCCTCTTGGCCATAGTTGGAGTGTCATATCTTTCATGGAGCTCAAGAGCAAATCCAATGGAGCTAACAGCAACCCAACGCAAGGAGAGATGGGCTCATCGCCACCTATCAGACCCCGGAGCAATTCCAACGCCTCTGGAAACTATAGACGCCTGTGTAGAGGTATATGGAGGGACAAATGCTGTTACGCTCCGACTCTTTCTGAACCCGATGGCGGGTCAGCCAGTAGGAAATCTCTTGGGCCATCTCCCACGACTGCAGGCGCTCATGAAACAAAGTGAAGGAACTTTTAATGATGTAAAAGACCGATCTTCGGCGTACCCAGTCGAAGCACCGAGACCAAGATGTCAAGAATTTAACCCCCGGCGAGAGCTATGGTGGTCACCACAAAGAACATTAGAGGAAAAGAACATGTTCGGGTTCCTTCTCAGTCATTCCGGACTCACGAAACCTCAACTGCGTATTTTGGGGGATAAGAGCCAACACGGTCGGACCGAAGCATTAGGATACAAGTTCAAGGACCAACCAAAAAACGAGTAATGGCCGTCAGCTCTGCCGGCGGCCTTCTCCAACTCAAACCTGACCCCACTGACCCTCGTCCTTACGCCGAACTTACTGTCTATGACCCTGCTGATCCAGATGACCAACAATGAGTACTCTTCCTCCTCGATACTGGAGCTCAAGTTAATGTAATTACCTCAATGATACCCCACCAGAAAACCACCAAAACGATTAAGGTACAAGGACTTAATGCTATTGCAGTCACAACAAAAGTCAAATTCTTAGTCCAAGGTCATCGATACGCTCTAGAGGCTGTGCTCGGGGGCATCAACATTCTAGGAATCCCGGGGATTAAAGTGCTTGACCTTAAAGAACAAGTGCTACAAGCGCTACCCATCATTATCCCAGAGCAGGATTGGCATTGACCAACGCTTCATAACATCTCCACCTGGCGGTATCGACCAATCC